GGGAATTTCCTGCCCGAAATATTTAAGCAACTGAAACAAACAGTTTCATCTTCAAGATAATGTTGATTCACCAACTTCAAAATAGCCTTGCAGCACTTTTATAAGTGGGAAGCACATGTGTCGGATCCATTTACAAGGACCATGATGTGGATCAAACAAGTATCAAAGTTAAAGCATTAGACCTGCCACAGGTTTAGACAATCAAAATCTTATCCTAGGAAAAAAAGTAGGCCACTAAAAATCTTTTTAGTAGCCAGTGGATGATATTAGTAACATAACCAAGTACACATGACCAAGTCCCCTGCTGAGCACCTGCTCATCAACAAGAATTCACCCAGGGAATTTGTATGCATCAAGACACCAGCTTCATATCTGAAATTTGGGGTACTAGAGCTAAGCTGACCTTGGTAATTGGACAAGAAACCTGCATTACGTGAGAGGGGATCTGGCTGAGGTTTCCTTCTCCTACGGTTGTGTCCATCAAGCCGTTTCCTGCAGCTTCTCTTTCCTTCATCAAATTCCTCCAGTGAATGAAACCTATAATAAGCATAATAAACCTTAATAAATCGTAACATTTAATATAAAAAACAAAGTGCAATTTAAGCTCATTCCACTGGCATAGAAAAAAAAATGGGAGCAATTTTTAGCTACAGACTTCAGGAGAAGGCAGAAAGTTTCCTCGGTATTTCTCTTTTGTCAGTGTGATAATTTCCTTGTTTTTGTTTTCATCTCTAATTGTCATTTTACTCATAAATTAAAAGAAATTTCTACAAATTTACAACTGTTAGTGCATATATCTGTCCATAAAAATAAGGCTCTAAACTCTAAATGGAAGAAAGAGAGACTTCAAGGACATCTTAGAGAGCTCCTAATTTGTTTGGATCTCTTTCCTGGGGAAAAGAGCTGTTAGCAATTGCAATTTGTTTGGATCACCTTCCTGGGAAAAAGAACAGAAAAAGCTAATCCTGCACAGAACACCCTCTTCCAGGAAGAAATATCCAGATAGAACTCCAAAATGATAAAGATTTTTTTTTCCAGGTAATCCTTCGGCCATGACACCCATGACAGTATAAGCACATACCAATCTTAAATTAACAGGGCAAAAAATGGATAAATGTTCTCTAACTCTGACTTCTTTGCATCATATCAGAACCAGCCACTGAGCTATAAACTCATTGAAGAACATTTATCAGAGTGTAACAAGCCAATATTATGGGCATTCCTCACACCTCCATGGTCTATCATAAATGTTACAGCCAAGATCCTTGCAGGTGTAGGCAACAGTTCTGAATGATGAAGCTTAAAAAGAAACCGTATCAATAGAAGTTAAAGATGACAAGCAGTTACAAAAATTCCAAATCCATTGCCAAGAAAATTAATCGAAGGAAAAACATGCAAATTGCTACACATTTCCAGGACGTAGTTGAGAAAGTAAGAAGATAATACTCTAGTTTGTACCTGCTGCATTGCTGGCAAAACCTTTGCTTCTGACCATTAATCAAAACCTGAGGAGTCTTTGAGTGAAGTTCACACACTTTATGGCGCCTATGGTAGTCCCTACAATTATTAAGGTCTGAGTTGCAGCCATCAACAAGGCATGAAACTGTATGAGTCCCATTATTAGTAGCCCGTGCCCTCTTAGATGATCCTGAAGGTGAAGACTCCATCTTCGTCACTCCAGGATCCTTCCACTTATTTAATGACTCATCAGTTGAATTACCAACTTGCCCAAGTTTCAAATCGACAGAAAAATTCCCTCTAGACCTGGGGCCTCCAAGGCTGCTTGACCCATCAATTCCAATATCTATGTTGGTAACAGGTTCTTGCTCAAAATCACTCAAATCCCATGAAGTTGCTTTGAGGTTCCAGTCCATAAAACTTATCACTTGAAGATTCTTTCTTTTTGTTCTTTTATTCTCCAAGCCTTATCAACCCAAAATCAGTTACGCTTTCCTTTCGCTACCAAAATCAAACTTAAAAATAAGAAATCACTTCAGACTCACATCAAAACACAGGAGAAAATAGTGCATAACAACAGAGTTTGAAATCGGGACTGTTAAAGAAATTAACCCAACTAAATGAAACCTATCACAGCTAAACAAGGCCCAATTTAGCTAACTGTTTGTTTAGGAAGCTAAGCGCTGTCAAATTTCAAATAAAAAACAAAAAAAAAAAAAGCGTAACTAAACAAACAGATATAAACAAATCAGCCAAACAAAAATTTCTTTTGAAAAAAAAAAGCAAATGAAGAACGCACGGATAAGGTTGTCAATAAAATACGGTAAGAAAAAACCCACATCAGAATGCGAATAAGGATGAGTAGCTAGCAATATAAGAGCCAAATAGTTCCAAGAAGATTGGAAGCTGAAACGAAGAGAAGTAGAGTACTAGAAATTAAAGAGGGAAAAACAATAAATGAAGAAACATGAGCAGTAAAAGAAAGAGATAGAAGTAGTTACAGTTGGGTTCAGCAGAAGAGGACTGGTTGTGGTTTTTCCATCCATTTATTCACTGACAGAGATTCCATTAGCAAGTAATAGAAAGAAAATCAGAAAAAGCTATGGTGTATGTGGAGGTTAAGAAAGAAGACTCCCTGAGCCCATAAGCAGTATGGGGAGAAGGAGAGTGTACAATGCATCCAAGTAAAGAGAGCAGCAAAGACAGAGACGAAGATTTGTGTGGAGAGAGAGAGAGAGAAGGGAAGAGAGTGGTGCTGGTGCAGAGAAAGAGGCCAAAACGAAAAAGAGAGTAATTTGTTTAGTTAAGTTGCTTAATAAAATATTTTGTTATTTCCATATTTAGGGTTTGTTTGAGAAGTGCAGGGTAATAGGGACAGCCTGTTTGTTCCTTTCAATTTATTTATTTTTTTCTTTAAAAAGAAAACTGGGTATAAGAATTGATGGACAAAGCATGTGGCCTTGTGTTTCACATTTCATGGTATGTCTTTCCTTCTTCCATGCGTATTCCCACTCCACTCCTGTACAGCTTGTGAAACAACAACCTTAAAAGCTTAATTTTGAATCATTACCCATTATTGCACCCTCACCCCCTCCAAATATCTAATTTTATACTAAAAAACTATAATATATATTTTACTTTTGTGTATTTTCAAATGGGTAAATTTTAATTTATTGGGTAAGTATTTCTTATGATAGACATTTAATTCCATACGCCTACGTCTAATCGTCGGACATTATATATAATATAAACTACTTTTTAATTAAAAAATTATATTGCACGTTTTTTAAAAAACTTGCTTGAAGTTTCTAACAAGTTCTGAAATGGTAACACACTGTGTGTGTGTGTGTACATATATATATATATATAAGGTGTCTCTGCTGGTCTGCTTTCAGTGGTCCGTTCAACTCCCTAATTAATCCATGCATGGTCCATTGCCAAAAATATCTCAAAGTACATGGGATCAGTTTTTGGAGCGTGGGAAGCAAGGCGCGTGGAGCGGGGTCCTAAATCTGAAAATAATGGGGGTTTGCAAGTTAAGCGAGGACACAAGAGTCAAAACGGATATTCTTGAGGGGTAAAATGGGAAAACTGTAGGCATAATAGACAACGCCTTTTAAAGCGGCAACTACCCACGTCAGTCAGTGTGGCAGCTGTGATGGCCATTGCCAGTGGGACCCAGAACCCCTTTAATCTAGCATGCCACGTGTCCTATTCCTTGCCAGTCACACCTAGCGAAAGTGAACTCCATCTGGGCTCCAAGCCAAGATCCGAGATATTGTTGTCGGCACCTTTATTTATTTTTTATTTCTTTTTTCAGTTAGTTTCTTTATGAACCGAACGAGAAATAAAAAAAAAGTTTAATAATTTTAATACTTGAAGTATTCAGTTACCTAAGATGTTATAAAAACTAGTCTCCTTTTGTGCAACCACATAATTAGTTAAATGTTTTAAAGCAAAAATAATGATGTTATCATTTATAATTTTATATAAATTAAATAAAAACAAATTATGAAAAATAAAATAAATAATTATAATAATAATAATAATAAATCTTTATCTAAATTATTTTTAGTAGACTAATAATACGTTACAAAGAATTCTAACTATTACAATTATATATATATATTTTTTCTTTTAAAAATTATTGATGGTAATATCAAAAGACTAAAAAATTTATAGGAATACGACTGTGTAAGGGGGTATTTGAGTTTTATAAATTCCTTTAAAATAATTTATTTATTTATTTTTACATTAAATAAAAAATAAATATAGATACACACTCATTTTCAAATAACTTACTTTACATTGCTTTTTGATGCTCATTGATAACTTTTTAATTCAACTTAATTGAAAATAATTTTAAGATAATTAATAATTTCTAAAATTATTCTCAGCAGTTTTTTTCCTAATAATTTAAAAAATTGGCTACATTCACAGACTCTAAAATGGCCAAATATTGTTCAAAATAGGGGGTTTTTTTTTTCCTTTTCTTTTCTTTTCCTTTTCTATCATTGTTCTTAAAATGTTTTTTTCTCCATTTCTTATGCTGTTATTATATATATATATATATATATTTACATATCTTTTTTTTAAGTTAGTTTTTTATTTTATTTTATTTTATGTTTAATTTTAACTAAAATCTATTAAAATATAGGTATATATACTTAGATATTAAGTGCATCTTATAAATTACAAGACTTATCATATTTAATAAATATATTTTCATATCAGATTTTATTTTAATATTTTATTACATTCGTATCTTTTAAATGTTTTTATTTTTAAAATACAAATATAATCACTGTTAAATTTTTATAATTAGATTAAAATTCTATAATTATTTATTTTTTATCGGTATTATATTGTGTATGCAAGAATACAAATCTATAAACAATTGATCATCCTAATTTACTTTTGTTTATTATCACTTTTCCATATATATATATTTTTTATAGTTGTTTAACTATATTAAGTTCATTTGGATTTATAAGGAGGAATGTATTTTTTATTGGATGAGAAAGATACACTTTAGCCTTGGTTTGCTAATGATTGAAACTTTTTGGTTTAAGTGATATGAATTTGAGTTTATAAGATTGTGTTTTGAATAACCCATCAAAGAAAAGGTTGTGTTTAGAATTTTAAATAATAATAATATTTTTTAACAAAAAGATTTTCCATATGAAAATTCATATGGACTTAAAATAAATGTATTACAAATCATTTCAATTAATGGAATTGAAAAATTGAATGCTTTCAATTATATATAAAATTTAATTTAATTTAATTTGAAAAGGGTGATTATAAAATGAAGCATAATCAAGATTTAGGTATTAACAAATTTCAAAACTTTGCATTATAATTAAGTAAGGTGTATATATGTAATATATCTATATATATATATATATGTATATGTGTGCCTTGAGACCCCATTGTCCATTGATGGGGACGAAGATAAAACCAAGAGAATTTTCCCAAGAAAAAGAGTTGCTTGTTCTAATGGTTGGTAGGTATATTGGCTGCTAATACCTCTCAATTTAATGTGGATGATAAATATTGGTGAAACAATTTTACTTGACTTTACTTTACTTTAATCCCCTCCAACTTGAAAAATGATTCCTCTAATTAATTAAACAGATTAAATTTGCACATGAAATTATTTTTAAAATAATAATTAGATCTAAACCTCATAAAATTTATTGTTCTTTACTCTTAGGTTAGATATATTATTATTATTCTTTTTCTATTTTAATGTTTATTTTATTTAAAATATATGCATATTTTACCCATGTTTTTAACCTAATAGAATATGATAAAATTAAAAAAAAAAAAAATCAAAGTTTGTTGTGAATGAAAATGGGCCTTAAGCGGGCTTGGAGTTGAAGGTCGTAGTCCAATAACCCGATACAATTTTAACGCGGTGCTGCAGAGGCCAGAGCTTTAATTGTTGTTGGTGTCTGAGAGTGCTCTGCTCTCCATCTCCAAAGTTTTTAACTTGCTCAATTGCTCAGAGTCAAGGTAAATTATTTACCCGTTTACTAGGGTTTTACGGGGTTCAACAACGTACGATTTTATGCTGAATATTCTTAAATTTTGCTTTCTTCGTGCTCAAAAATGGAATTCATTTGTATTTATGTTATATACTTTTAAAAATTATTTAAGAGTTTTGAGTTATTAGTGAATTTTGCTGGATTAGCGTCAAGTTGGAAATGGAAGGGGAGGAGCTGACCGAACAGGAGACCGCATTATATGATCGCCAGATTAGGGTTTGGGGTGCTGATGCTCAAAGAAGGTATTATGGATTATATTTCTGAAGTATAATTTTGATTTGATTGTTTTCGCATTTTGTTCATTTATTTTAATTTGTATTTAAGCATGATAGTTGCATTTTAAACTCTCCTTTATTGCTACTGGTACTATGGTTTAAGTTCATCAGTTGTTTTTTTTTTGGGTATTTGATTGCAGACTTAGCAAATCTCATATATTAGTATGTGGAATGAAGGGGACCATTGCTGAGGTAAGCTTCTTAACTTGCTTATATCTTTAAGGAAGCTGGTGTAATTTTGTTTAGTTTCTCTTGTTTGTAATTTATACTATAGATAAATTTCTCTGTTTAATTGCTTTAGTTTTTTTTTTTTTTTGGGCTAAAATTAATTAATTATTTTTATTTTTATCCCTCCTTTTTCTGGAGTGTAGTTTTGCAAGAATATTGTGTTAGCAGGAATTGGTAGTCTAACATTGATGGATAATCGCGTAGTTACTGAGGAAGCACTAAATGCAAATTTCTTAATACCACCCAAGGAGGGTGGATATAGTGAGAAAACTCTTGCAGAGATTTGTTGTGATTCTCTGAAAGAATTCAATCCAATGGTCCGTGTTTCTGTAGAAAAAGGTTTGCTCTGTTCCCACTACCATCTTTAGTGGTTGGCTTGCTAGTTCTTATCTTCATTGCAGTTTGAAAATCTCGTACTTGAAATCTGTTCATTTTAATGTCTTGTCCGCCCAATGTCGATTAATTCTATAATGTACCTCACATGAAATAGGTTCTTATTGAAATGTTGTTTTCACAGGTGAATTGTCAACCTTCGGTGCTGAATTCTTTGATAAATTTGATGTCGTGGTTGTTAGTTGCTGCTCTCTTGCAACAAAAGTACCAGCAAAATCTTTCTTTAGTGAATGGTTTGTCCTTAGTAGCTTATGTTTATTGTTTCTGTAATTTTCTTATGGTTCATGATGTATTAACAGAAATCGGTGAATGAGAAATGTCGTAAATTATCAAAGCGTGTGGCGTTTTATACAGTTGACTGTAGAGACTCTTGTGGGGAAATATTCGTCGACCTGCAGAACTATAAATATACCAAGGTGATCTTATTTGGGTCTAATAATTTTCTGTTTTCATTAGTTCCTGTAGCTGTTTTTCTAAAAGAAGTTAATTTATGATTTATAAATTTTTGGTAAAAACTGATGAATTATGACTTATAATGCATAATGTGTTGCTTAGCATATGAGTCAGGTATCTGGTCTGTTGCCATTATCCAGACCTTGTTCTGAGATAGAACTCTAAGCCCATTATTGTTCTTCAATAGAAACTATAGACATTTATGAGTCTTTTATGGAGCAACTGGGTTGACCAATTATGAACTCTTCTGATATCTTGTAGGTTGTTTGGCCTGTTTCTTTTTGATATTGTAGTTTATGCATGCCACATTATTTTATGGCTATCACACTCTTTTAAAAGTATATTGCATTATTATAAGAGGTGTTAAACTTTTCTGAGTCTTTTTCTTGCAGAAAAAGCTTGAAGAAACTTTTGAATATGAATTGGCATTTCCAAGTTTCGAGGTATGTGGTTTCTAATACCTGCTGTCCTTATTTGTAAAATTTATCTTTTAATAAACAAAAGAATGTTGTATTATTTTCTTTGCTGAGTGCATGATCTCCAAGCTTGTTTAGTAGGCAATGTTAAGTTAAAACTTCTGAAGTCATGAAAGTCCAATCCTTATCTACTTTTGCTAGAATATTATTTAGACTATTCCAACCAATGAGTCCCTTTTAACACCTTGATGCTTACCCCCATAAAGGAGCAATTAATCTGTCAATCTGATCACATACCACTTGAGGCAATAAGAAAACACATTAAATATGATGGGATTGCTTGTGCCACTGCTGTCAACATAACCTCTTTTCCTGCTTTAGACCATAAAGAACAGTTCTAGCTCTCCAATCTTTTAGCGGCTCTATCCACAATGGTACAAAAAATACTCTGCGTAGACCTTCCAATAACCATGAGAAGGCATAGGTACTTCTCATGACACGAAACATCCGATTGCTCTCTCACATCCTGTGTTGTTGTTTAGTGTCTGCAGAGAAACAACTCATTGATTTAGTGAAATTGATAGGTTGTCCTAAAGCACCCTCATATGGTTCAAGAATAGAAGCAAATGCCACTGCCTCATCCCTCTGGCAATGGCTAGAAATGACTGTTTTATGCAACAAACAAATGAGAGATGGTAGGGGGACCACAACATACTTGAGACCTGAATTATACCCCTGGCTTCTACTTGTCTCAACATGGATGGAAGACTCTTATCCCACATAATGAACAAATTGGGTGATAAACGATCTCCTTGATGGATACAATACCCCTACTACGTAAGAAATGATTCTTGTTGACCATTAAGTAAGACAGAATAAGAAGCCGATGTCACACACTTCATAATAAGAGACACAACACAAGGGTGAAAACCCAACTAAGCATCATATTTTATAGGAAAGACAACTCAACTCAATTTTATGATTTAGAAATTTCCAGTTTTAATGAAAAAGGGGCTCTTTTCTTTTGTTCGACAATGCCCATAAGTGATGGAAAAACCATTGACCATTAAGTAAGACCAAATAAGAAACTGACATCACGAACTTCATAAGAAGAGACACAACAGTTGGGTGAAAACCCAACTAAGCATCATGTTTTCTAGGAAAAACAACTCAACTCAATTATATCATTTAGAGATGTCTAGTTTTAATGCTACAGAAGCTTTTATTTATTTATTTTTTGTTCGGCAATGCTCATAAGTGATGGAACAACTATTTACCATTGAGTAAGGCAGAATAAGGAACCGACATCACACACTTGATAACAAGAGACACAACACTAGGGTGAAATCAACTTAACATCATTTTTATGGGGAGAAAACTGAATTCAATTATATGATTTAGAGATGTCCAGCCTTAATGCAAAAGAAGCTTTTGTTTGTGTTTGACAATGTGCGTAAGTGATGGAATAACTCAATGCAATTAAAACATTATTAGCAATCAATCTATCAAGGACAAACACATATTTGGAAAGATAGATTGCCGTTGGCAACATAAAATTCCAACAACGGTTTATTACCATTTTCACGACAACATTGCACAAATTAATGGGATGATATCCGGAGCAAACTTTGGTTTTCAAAAGTTTTCGGCTAAAGTTACTATGTAAGGTTCATTAGTTGAATAGACCGCCGACCATTCAAAACACCCAAAACAAAAGAAGTAAACTTGTTACTTACTACCGTTTTGGGAAAAAGATTGGGGACATACTGTTAGGGCTCGAAGCCTCTGTGGGTCCACTTACTTCAGTGCAATGTTTTCTCCATTTTTGGTTCCATAAGAGCTTCGTTCATGCAGATTGTGACCTTATTTTCCACACTAGAAAATAACTAGTTCCAACTCCAACACATATGAAATAGTAATGATACTCCTAAAATGAGCTTGTAATAGATCTTCAATCCCCTTTTTATCATCCACTTAATAACCTTGTGAATCTCTCAATCGATCAATGAAATTACATCTCCTCCTAACAATAGCCTCGGCATGAAAAAAAAAATAGTGTTTTTGTTGCATTGTTAAACCAATCTATCTGCAAACTTTGAGCACAAATAATATCTTCCTTTGTAAATAAATCACGTAGTTCAGCTTCAATCTTTCTATTTTCCTAACAAGTTCCTCCGTGGGCTTTAATGTGATTTTTTTTTTGAAAAGTAAAAAGTGTATTAAAATGGCACCAAAGGGATGCAACCTATATGTGGAAGAACGAATTGTTGTAGATTTCATTGAATATTAAGGCCCTATATATATATAAGTGAATGACAACAGTAAAAGGAAATAGTATTAATTATTTGGTGATTTGGTAGAGCCGATGATTAATTTGTAAATATTTTTGTAAATGAGTTTACACCCTTCTGGTGCTTATAGTAATTGAATTATACGCTTTTTGTTTAAAAGAGATAGTATTAATTACAAATAGTGCAAAGATATTCAGTACTAATATACCTTTTACCCTAATAAAACCCTAATTTGTACTTCTTAAGACTCCCCCTCAAGTTAGTAAATAAATATTATTCATTCCATCTTGGCAATAATCGTCGGAAATACAGAATTATTTAATCTTTTAGTCAAAATATAGGCAAGTTGTGAAGAATCAGCCCACTATCCAGTTTTTATTTTTATTTTTACTTCAATACGCTTAGTTCTCTCATGTTGTATTGTGAGCGATGCTAATCGCTTACTTATTGTCGCAGTAGAGTCTTATATGTCTTCTATTGAAAATTTTCAACAATTCAAGCTCAAACACCCCTTGGACGTAGCCTTGAACTCTGATTCCGCACTAGATCGAGTGATTACATTTTGTTGTTTTACTTCTCTAAGTTGTTAGATTCCCTCCAAGAAAGGTACAATGCTCCGGAGGTGGATCTCCTATCAACTGGTAATCCAGCATAGTCTGTATCAGCGTATGCTTCAAGAAGCAATCCATTATTTCTTTTTTTTTTTTTGAAATAAAAAATGTGAAATATATTAACATGGTACCAAACAATTGTTACTGTTATTGGCTGCAGAACATGCGTCTGCTGGGGAGGACAGGGTGCAGTGGAAGCTGGATAAAAGTGGTGTCTTTTCTGTCAAATCTTATTACAAGCACTTAACTGACAAAAACAATGTTATAAGTTTTGATTTTCCCTCTAGGCAGATCTGGAAAGCGAAAGTTTCCCCTAGAGTTGCTTTTTTTGCATGGGAAGCATGTAGAGAATGCATCTTGACAATAAATAAACTTAAAACTAGGGGGTTGGTCATTCCAAACCGGTGCTATTTGTGTATGGCTAATGAGGAAAGCTGTGTGCATGTACTGTTGCAGTGTCCTGTGGCCTCTTGGATTGTGGAATACTATTTTTAGTATGATTGTGTCAACTGGGTGATGGCTGGATCTATTAGGGAGAAATTGTGGGCTTGGGATGGGATGCATGTTGAGAGGAAGTTGAAAAATCTAATTCCTTTATCTTTGTTTTGGATTCGTTGGAAGGAGAGAAATTCTAGAGCTTTTGAGGGTAAAGTTAATGATTTGTATAGTTTGAGAGATAGATGGTTACATTATTTTGGGTTGTTATTGTTAGAGTATGACACGATTAGTGATGTGGATTTTGAGCATGTCATTGATTCACTAACAACATTGTAAAGTTTTTGAAATCCATTATTTTTTTGGAACATAATTCCCGTTCTTGAAATCAAGTATTTTGTAGTCTACTTATAGGTGTACTTTTTTAAAGTTGTGCATGAATTGGCTCACAACAGTAACAACATACGCAATGTCTGGCTTGATATGTGATAAATATATCAATTTTTCTACTAGTTTTTGGTACACATTTCTTTGTCAACATTTGGGTCTTCTTCCGCCAGTCCTAGATTATGATCGAGATCAATGGGTGTGCTACTTGGTTCGCACGCAAGTTTACCAGGTTTCTTTTATAGATATGTAACATATTTTTGTTGGGAAATGAGTGTTTTTGACTTTGAATAAGCCACTTCTATTCTGAGTAAATATTTTAATTTCCTTAGTTCTTTAATCTTGAACTTTCTAGTCAGATATTGCTTGAGAGCTACTTTTTCCTCTTTATCGTTTCCTATAACAATTATGTCATCTATGTATATTAGAAGAATAGTGACTCTCCTTGACTGAGGGCTCAATGAGTAGAAATCTCCACTTGCTGATTTTATTTTCAAATATCTGCATTTCAATATTCATAGTATTTTTCCATTCCTTGCTGGTTAAAGTTTTAGATAATGTTTTGGAAATAGATACTGTATTCAGGCTCATAAGACACCTTTTGTGAGATGGAGAGCATTTTTCAAGGGATATAAAACTCGATATAGGATAGAAGATATACTTAGTGCGTTCTCTCGTCCCATTTCTGAGTGCAATAGGTATATCCATATCAAAATAAGTAAGGTTTTCAGAACTTACGTCATTTCCGATAATTGACTTAGATTTTGAATTTCCTTGGATCGAATTTTAGATTCTTCCTTCTTGAATACACCTAGGAGAACTGTGGGTCTGGCTTGGCTGAAGGTTAAGGCTTATCTTCTGGAGGTATGAGTTTAGGTTTACTTTGTGTGTACTGGGTTTTTATTGGGGTAGTCGTTATCGGGGTGTGTTTTTTACAGGTAAGAGAAGATATAAAAAAGGGTTGCAAGAGGATTTATTCTCCTTATCTTCCAGTTTCGTAGACTCCCCTTACAGAGAAAATTTATCTAAAACGGATTCTATCTTAACAAATGTGACATCAGTTGATACAAAGAATTTTTTGGTCGAGAGATAGTAACATATGTATCCTTTATGGGTGTGCGAGCATTCAACAAAAGCACATCGAATGGTTCTAGGATCAAATTTCTCTATGTGACTTATATATGTAATATAGACAACACAACCAAAGACACACAGAACAAAGTTATTGGAAATTCATACCTCAGGGAAAAAGGAGGCAAGAACTTCTGTAGGATGCTAAGGTCTAATATTGAGATGGTAACCAGTTTATAAAGTAGATGACAGTTAACACAAATTTCCCCAAGTATTGTTTAGGAACGTGGTTTTGAAACAAAAAAGCTCGGGTAATGGTAAATAAGTGACTGTTTTTTCGTTCTATTACCCTAATTTGCTTGGAGTATAAACACAGAAAGACTCATGATCAATTCCTTTTTTTTTTTTAAAAGAGAGTTTGTGGTTAAAATAATATCTGGGCATTATAGGTTCTAAAACATTTAATTGTAATTCCAAATTGTGTATGGATTATAGTGTAGAACTTGGGAAAAATATGACTGACTTTATCTTTTGACTTCAATTAAAAAACCAAGTTACCCAAATGCTATCATCAATAAAGCTGACAAACTATTGAGTTCCAGAAATATTGTAAATATATGAAGGACCTAAATGTTAATATGGCTTAAGGTAAAGAGAAAACTACTTGTGTGATTGATAGGGAAAAAAATTACATGGTGGTGTTTTGCATAATTCACATACATCGTAATGTAGTTTCTCATTATTAGAATCAGAAAATAAAGAAGGGAACATAATCTTG